ATAATTATTTTAATAATAATAATTATAATAATAATTATTAGTACTATTATTTTTATTTTTATTATTACTTTTATTATTATTATTATTATTATTATTATTATTATTACTATTACTATTATTATTATTATTAATATTATTATTATTACTATTATTATTATTATTATTGTTATTATCATTATTAATATTATTATTATTGTTATTATTGTTATCATTAATATTATTATTATTGTGATTATTATTATGATTATTATTATTATTATTATTATAATTATAATTATAATAAGGGATAATGCCCAAGTACCCACTCAACCTATCCCCGAAATCTCATAGACACACTTATACTATACTAAGGTCCTATTACCCCCCTGAACTTATTTTATTAATAATTTTTTACCCCTTTTTAGCCTACGTGGCATCATCTTGTGGGCCCAATGATGATTGACTTTTTTTTTCAAACTAGTGTCACGTAAGCTAATAAGGGGTAGAAAATTACATATAAAATAAGTTCAGAGGGGTAATAGGACCATAGTATAGTATAAGTGTGTCTCTGGGATTTCGGGCATAGGTTGAGGGGGTACTTGTGCATTTTCCCTTATAATAATAATAATTATAATTATTATTGTTGTTGTTGTTATTATTATTATTATTGTTGTTGCTATTATTATATTATTATTATTATTATTATTAATATTGTTATTATAATAATAATAATAAAAATAATAATAAGTAATAATAATAATAATAATAATAATAACAACAACAACATTAATAACAATAATAATAATAATAATTATTATTTATTATTATTATTATTACTATTATTATTATTATTAGTATTATTATTATTATTATTATTATTATTATTATTATTATTATTATTACTACTACTACTATTAATATTACTATTATTATTATTATTACTACTATTTTTTTTGGTATCTAAATTTTTATTAATTACCAGAAGCAAACATTACAAATCTAAGCAGCCATCACAGCTTGATTTGTTCTTCAAAAAAAAAAAGTCTACACTACCACCTACACTACTAACTATTACTCACAATTCATTGACTTAAATCTTTGAAATATTAAAAGGAATTCTAGCAATAGTTACATAGGCTATCTCTTAAGCTATATTTTCCTCCTTTTTGCTCTTGTGTTCAAAAATTCTATTGTTTCTCTTTATCCATAAACCATATATGCCTTCTGTCAACACTGTCTTGAACATTTGTGCTGCTGAGCTCTTCCCTTTCCCATGTTGTGTACACCATTGCTGAAACTGCTCCCAAACCAATGGAACAGTACCTTGTTGATCAATCCATCCTAATAGACTCTCCCACAGCTTCCTTGCAAACTGACATTGTAAAAACAAATGCTCTATATTCTTTTCAGTATTCTTGCATAACACACAAACCTTATCTACTTCAAATCCCCATTGAGTTAATCTGTCAACAGTAGCTAGCTTTTGATTCATCATAATCCACATTGTGATATAAGCTTTTGGTCTAGCTGCATTGCTATACATGAGACATGTCCATGCTGGCCTTTGTTGCATTCCTTTCATGTGATAGTATATTTGCATTAGTATCCCTTTCCCTTTGCTTTGAACTTGCTGGACTTGATCAACTATTATCTTTGCATTCTTTACTTTCTTAACCATCCAGCTTGCATGGTTACTCATCTTCCATTCTCTCTGCCCCTTTATATAGTATGCATGTATCCCTGTTCCATATTTTCATATTGATCAGTCCTAAACCTCCTTCATATTTAGGACAACACACTTTATCCCAAGCTATTAGTGCCTTTTTTGTAACATATCCAACCCCTGACCATAGATAACTTCTACATAGTCCTTCAATCAGCTTAATTATCTTTGCAGGAATAATGAAAAGTTGTGCCCAGTAAGCCTGCACTCCAAACAATACAGTCTTAAATAGTTGAGCTCTTCCTGCATAAGACAACCTCTTTGTTGTCCATGAGTTGATTCTTGCCATGATTTTGTCAATAAGAGGAAACTATTGGATGTAGTCAGCTTCTTTGATGACAGAGGTACCCCCAAATATTTAAAAGGAAGCTCTTCCATTGTATATCCAAGCTGTTGAACAATTTGTTGCCTCACCTCCATCTGGACTCCACCACAATAGATTGAACTTTTAGTAAGATTTGCTCGCAGTCCTGAAACTTGAGAGAACTCTGAAAAACACCTTTTAAGTGCCTTGATGGAGTTAAGATCACCTCTAGAAAATAGAAGAAAATCATCTGCAAAGCACAGAGGAGTGATATCCAACTTAGAAAATTTAGAATGATACTTGAAATCCTTTTCTTCTTTAAGCCCCTTTGAGAAGCCTACTGAAATACTCCATAGCTATAGCAAAAAGGAAAGGTGACACTGGATCTCCTTGCCTGAGCCCTTTAGCTGCATCAAACCTTTGAGAAATCTGACCATTAACTACAATTGTATAATTCACTGTTTTAACACACTGCATTACCCATTGAGTAAATAAATCAGGAAAACCCAAGCCCACCATCACTTGTTCTAAGAAAGGCCATTCCACTGAATCATATGCTTTTTGTAGATCAATCTTTAGCATACTTCTAGAAGAAACATTCTTCCTAGTATAAGCCTTAACCAATTCATGAGCTAGAATTATGTTGTCTGCAATTTTCCTCCCTGGAATAAATCCTGCTTGGCTATCACTGATAACAGTATGAATAACTTCATGTAATCTATGAGTTATCACCTTTGACATGATTTTATACAGGACAATGCAACAAGCACTTGGCCTATACTCTTTCACAGTTTTGGGACTTTGTACTTTTGGTATTAAAGAAACAAGAGTGCAGTTAAAAGGCTTAAATAGTTTCCCTGTTGTAAAGAAACTCTTGATAGCATCAATGACATCAGTTTCAATAATCTTCCATGTATACTTAAAGAATAGAGAATTGTAACCATCTATACCTGGAGCCTTATCATTCCCAATAGACTTAAAGCTGCAAATATCTCCTGATCAGTTATTGTTGCACATAACTGGATTCTTTGCTGTTTGACAAAACATGCCCTCGTTTCATCACCTGAGCATTTATAGCTGGAAGTTTATCTGCTGCAGTACCCATAAGGCTTTTGTAAAACAAGACAAACTCTTCTTGAATCTCTTGAGGTTCATACATCATCCTTCCATCTATAGACAACAAACTTCTAATATGCTTCTTATAAGTTCTCTCCTTTATCACTGAGCTAAAATATTTATTATTTGCATCCCCCAACTTAATCCATTTTGCTCTTGCTTTTTGTCTAAGTGCACTTTCCTCAATCAAAGACCACTTTTCAAGCTTTATTAAAAGTTATTTTTCTTTAGTAACTAATTTATCAGTTGCTTGACTATAAAGCTGATCTTGAATCCCTGCAAGTTCATTTCTAGCCTTCTCAATCTGCTTGCCTATATATTTAAACTCTCTCCTATTCAACTGCTTCAAGACTAGTTGAAGGGCCTTCAACTTGTACCATACCATCTTCATTGCATCACTTCCATTCTTCTGCTTTCACACTTTCTCCACCAGTTCTAAGAAAGATTCATGTTCAATCCATACATTAAAGAACTTAAAACTTGCTATAACCTGTTGATAATTTTGATGTAGTAACAACTGCATTGAGCTATGATCAGACACTCCTGGATTCTCATACTCTAAAATAACATGACCCCATTTATCCATCCATGCATCATTCCCCAAGGCTCTATCAATCCTACTTGAAATTCTAGCATTACCAATATGTTTATTGTTGTAAGTATAGTAGTTACCTTTCCATTGTATTTCATTAATGCCGATATCCTTAACACATTCTGCAAAATCCTTTATCTCATTCAAAGTAACAAGAGCCCCATCTTGTCTATCTTTGGATGACAGAAGAGCATTAAAATCTCCTATTATGAGCCATGGATGTGTAACACTTTGAACCAGCAAGTTCAGATCAGTCCATAAGCTTTTCCTCTGCTCTATAGTATTAAAATCATATACCACTGTGAGATTAAACTGATAACCTTTACTTCTTTCATTTATATGGCAATGTATCATTTGAGCTGAACTAGTTATTAACTTGATATCATACCAACTTTCATCCCATATAATCCAAATTCTACCATTTGCAGCCTCCTTATAATTGTTCAGACTCCTCCATCCTGGAGCTATACTTTTAATTGTAGCTTTGGCATTACCCTCTTTCACTCTAGTTTCAATTAACCCTGCTAAGGAAACCTTATTAAGCTGTAAAAATAACTTTATCTCTTTCTGCTTATATCTTTTATTCATGCCCCTCACATTGCAAAAACTCCACTTCATTAACAAATTTTTGATGCTCCACCTCTATCTACAGGCAGTGAAGCAAGCTTGCTATTCATGAGACTCTCAAATCCATTTCTCATTGGTATGGCTGATAACATAGGAAAATTTGACAAACTGAATTCCAGATGCTTAGTTCCAGTATTAGGCCTTAGATTAAGGTCTGGTGTTTGCTTGATTTCCTGTTCTCCTCTTTGTTCTATCTCTTGTTTCTCCTCCTGCACAAAGGAAGTATTATCATCTTCTATATGCTCTAGTACCTTACTTTGTTTAACTTTCCACTCCTGCTGCTGAATTGGACCTTTATATTGCCAAGTCTGTGTAACTTTTTTCCATGGCCTTCTCTTCTTTGGTAGATCCTCCATTGTTGCTGATTGGCATTGGTGTCCAATCTTCTGACATTTATCACAATATAGAGGCTTCCACTCCATCACAACTTCCTGCATATATGTTCTACCATTTGGATCCATAACTGTTATCTTCTGAGGAATAGGCTTAGTAACATTTACTTCAATAAGCATTCTAGAATAGGATGTTCTTGTCTGCTTTGTGGTACATTCATCAACAAATAATGGGACTCCTATAACACTAGCTATTCTACTCAGAGATCCAACTCCCCAACAATTAAGAGGCAACTTTGGAAAGTTAACCCATAATAGTATTTTAGTTAAGAACTCATTTTCAAAATTAAAATCAGGACACCATTGCTTCAGTATAATAGGCCTATTACTTATAGTGTATGACCCTGAAAATAGTACCTCATTCATGTCATTCAGGCTCTTAAACTTGATTATGTATCCTTCTTCATAAAGAAATACATCAGGCTTATCCACTTTCGACCAATTCATCAATAAGTACCTATTCATAGTATTATACCCAGGACACTCTCCAATTACATAAGCTATAAGTGCACATTTCCACTTTTCTTCTTCAATATGTACCTCTTTCCCTTCCAGCTGAACCATAGTTTGCCCATTCACTATTTGTGGAGGGAAATAAGTCAAATTTATTCTATTGTTAGCTGCACAATTATTCTTAAACATATTGACCCAAGGCTCCTTATATTCCTTACTCTTCTTCCCTTCTTTACCTCTATTACTGTTAACACCTTCAATTACTGTTCCATTGCCATCCACCTTGTTCTCACCATCAAAACGTTCCAGATCTGAGTTCTCATGTACCTCTTCCTTCTTCAGTGAATTGTTTAAGCTCAAATTTCTAGAAACTTTAGAACTCACTGATAGTCTATCTTCAAAACTATCTTCCTCATTTTGAACTTGTTCCTGCTGATTCAACTCTATTGCTTCAACTCGAGCTCCAACTGAGCTACCAATTGTCATTATTGGTGTTTTCCGGCCTCGTCCTCGCCCTCTTCCTCTTCCCCTCGCCATTTTCCACCTTCATTGCGCACGTTACTATTATTATTATTATTATTATTATTATTATTATTACTTCTACTATTATTATTATTATGATTATTATTATTATTATTATTAGTATTATTATTACTATTATTGTTATTATTATTATTATTATTATAACTATTATTATTTTTATTATTTTTATTATTATTATTATTATCATTAATATTATTATTGTTATTATTAATATTATTATTATTGTTATTATTATTATTATTAATATCATTATTGTTATTATTATTATTATTATCATTATCATTATTATTATTATCATTATTATTATTATCATTATTATTATTATTATTACTATTATTATTATTATTATTATTATCATTATTCTTATTATTATTTTTATTATCATTATTATTATTATTATTATTATTATTATTATTATTATTAAAAGTCCAAAATTACGTTGGGAATATATTACAGGACCAAAATTACCAGTAATACATATGCTATTATTCCTAAATAAACTTGAGTACTAATAAATAGATATACAATTTATTGTTTTATAGCCATCCCTAGTTTTAGCGCTCGATCTCTTAATTTTTTCATAACAATTTGTATTATTGGTTGTATACAACATAGAATTTTATTTATTTATTATTATTGATTGTATTATTTTTGTATTAAAAATGATAATTTGATATTAACATACTTTCATAGGTTCTCCTTGTTTTTTAATCAAATGATTTTTTAAGTAATTTTTTCATTATCTTTAAATTAAATAGATTCTCTCTTTGTTTTTAAGGTTTTACGAATTATATTATGGATATCAATCCTCCACTATTTTTTGTGTACATAATATGTTGGGTTATTATGGATATCAATCCTCCACTATTTTTTGTGTACATAATATGTTGGGTTATTATGTGAGCGAACCATCCAATCTAAACCCCAACATTTCAACCATAATAACCAGAATATAATGCGGAAGACTTAAAACTCATTAATAAACACCGATTAAAAACTTCTAAAACTTAATACTTATTATTCCCAAAATCTGGAAGTCATCACACCAAGAACATCTATCCTCAAATTTCTAAGTCTAAGAATATTCAAGAGCTAAAACAAGTAAAAGAATGTCCATGTCCGAACTTCAAGACATCAAGACGTGAAGGAGAGAATCCAGTCAGAGCTAGGAACAGTAGCTCACCTTGAATTCTGATATGCTGAAGACTGGCTAGATTTGCGGACGAATCGAAGTCGATGGTACGTTTGCTGCACTCCACAAATAACAAAGAGAAACATACAAGTAGGGGTCAGTACAAGGAACACGTACTGAGTAGGTATCATCGGCCAACTCAAAATAGAAAGCAATATACATCAAATAATATCATAAAATAAACTACAATACTCAACAGGTAGCAACAACAAGTACAAGAATCATTGATAATAACGCCAAGTACACCCATGAGGACTCAAGCCTCCATACCATACTCATTTGGGAAATAGGTTCTTTGAATTTAATTACATTCACATAATTAAAGATTCAATCCCTTATCATGCTGGTGTCGGAACGTGACACTCTGATCCCCTAAAGATTCATTCTCTTTATTATCCTGGTGTCAGAACGTGACACTCCGATCTCCTACTACTACGTGTCGGCTAGTAACACCTGATCCCTTAATTCTACGTGTCGGTTCGTGACACCCGATCCACTAATTCCTGGTGTCGGTACGTGACACTCTGATCCCCTAATTCTACGTGTCGGTTCGTGACACCCGATCCACTAATTCCTGGTGTCGGTACGTGACACTCCGATCCCCTAATTCTACGTGTCGGTTCGTGACACCCGATCCACTAATTCCTGGTGTTGGTACGTGACACTCAGATCCCATAATTCTATGTGTCGGTTCGTGACACCCGATCCACCACTCTCATTCTTTTAATTCATCAAGCCTTCTTTTATACCAAGACATCATCATTAACAAAGAGGATTTAAGGTTTAAGATTCACAACCTCATCTTTCCAATCCATTACAATCACATAATCACATCATGCAAGCATACAATTAAGCATATAGAAGACTTTACAATACTACCCAATACATATCATTCGCTATTACGAGTTTACTATGAAGTAGCATAAACCATAACCTACCTCCACCGAAGAATCGTGATCAAGCAATCTACTTCTCCGATGCTTCGCTTTCCTCTTCGTTTCTCCCTTCTCTCGATCGTTCTCCCTCTCTTTCTGTCTCTTTCTTCTTTTTCCTTATTCAAACTCTTTTTCTTTTACCCTAATTACCATATAATTAAGTATAAAAGATGATAAAAGTAACCCACTATTTATTTTAAGTTACCTCCTTTAACCCCCAAGTAAATTAGTTATTAAACTTACCCACTAATTTCATACAGTTTGACATAAATAGTCCAAAATGACGCTTTAAAACTTTAGCAGAAATCCGACCCAGGTGGAATTACGCAGCTCTTGACGGCCTGTCGTGCCTGCGACGGTCCGTACTGCAGGTCCGTCACAAAGTTCAGAGAGTTAATTCTGTGGAAAGAGTCTGTGACGGTCCGTCGTGCCTACGACGGTCCGTGCTGCTCTTCCGTCGTGGAGTTCAGAGAGTCGAATTCATTAAAGAGTCTGTGACGGTCTGTCGTGCCTACGACGGTCCATGCTACTCTTCTGTCGCGAATTTCAGAGAGTTGATTCCCCGTACCCAAATTTCAAGAGTCTAAGTTTTTTGAAACGATACCCCCTCGACGGTCCGTCGTACCCATGACGGTCCGTCGTGAGATCCGTCGACCTAGACAACTATTATCAGAAATAAACTCTACTGCTCAAAACGACTAAACATGTCATTACAATAGATACCAATTTACCCATCGTTCATCCTTGAACGATCATAAGAAGAAAAATAAGGACGAAAAGGAGTACCTGAATTTGTAAACAGGTGTGGGTATCTTTCTTGCATATCGGCCTCCTTCTCCCAAGTGGACTCTTCAACTGGTCGATTCTTCCATTGAACCTTCATGGATGCAATCTCCCTTGATCTCAACTTGTGGACTTCTCTATCTAAAATGGCAACAGGCTCATCCTCATAAGATAAATTCTCATCAAGAAGAACTGAATCCCAACGAATGATGTAGTTTCCATCCCTATGGTATCTTTTCAACATAGACACATGAAATACCGGGTGCACTCCTGACAGTCCCGGGGGCAAGGCTAATTCATAGGCTTCCTCCCCATGCGCTTCAGAACTTCAAATGGACCAATATACCTCGGACTAAGCTTACCTAGCTTACCAAACCGCATCACCCCTTTCATGGGCGAAACCTTCAATAAGACTTGCTCACCCTCCATAAACTCCAAGTCTCTAACCTTTCGATCTGCATATTCTTTCTGCCTACTTTGAGCCGCTAGAAGCTTTTTCTGAATGCATTTCACTTTATCTAACGATTCCCTCAGAAGGTCTGTACCCCAAGGTCTAACATCAAATGCATCAAACCACCCAATGGGAGACCTACATCTTCTCCCATACAGTGCCTCAAATGGGGCCATGTCAATACTTGAGTGATAATTATTGTTGTATGAGAATTCTACTAGGGATAAGAAATTATCCCAATGACCACCAAATTCTATCACACATGCACAAAGCATATCCTCCAAAACCTGAATCGTTCGCTCAGACTGACCATCGGTCTGAGGGTGAAATGCAGTACTAAGATCCAACCTATTACCTAATTCAGCATGCAATGTTTTCCAAAACTTAGAAGTAAACTGCGTACCTCTATCTGATATGATGGAAAGTGGAACTCCATGCAATCGAACAATTTCTGAGATGTAAAGTTTGGCTAACTTCTCTGCATTGTAAGTCACCTTGACCGGAATGAAATGAGCAGACTTAGTTAATCTGTCAACGATTACCCAAATGGAGTCATACTTACCCATTGTCTTTGGAAGACCAACCCACGAAGTCCATTGCAATTCTCTCCCACTTCCATTCAGGAATGGGCATTCTCTGAAGTGTCCCTCCAGGCCTCTGGTGTTCATACTTTACCTGCTGAC